CCTTGCTGATTGGCTCTTAGCTTGATAGCTCAGAGAGAGGGATTTTCCCTGGATTATGTACGGCTGTCTTCTTCATTTTATTTTACGAATTCAATGAAATCCTCCTCCATCCTATTCTCTGTTAGCTAAATTGTTTCTTTTGATTACTTCATCTTTATCATTGGTCCGACCTGCTACGACCTGCCCTTTCTCTCATCATGGTTCAACCTGCTATTGAAACTCGTTCTCAAACTGTTCGTTTGGATCAACACGACGAGCAGATCGCTAAAATCCAGTCGGATATCCTCGACATCAAGGCTTCAATGGATTCTGAACGTATTGAATCGGCAGAATTTCGTAAAGTTATGATGAGCTGGGTGAAGCAACAGGAGAAAAAAACGATGTCAGATTCTGGGGATGTTTCTCGAGTCGATATGAACACTCCTCCTTTCAATCCGAATGGTATGGAGTTCATGCGTTTCACGACGGGACACAACAAACATTCTGGGTCTGGAGATGGTTCGCAGGATGGACTACCATGGGCGGTGAAGAAGATCAAGTTACCGGAGTTCTGTGGCTTCGATCCTCAGGGGTGGATTCAAAAAGCCAACCTCTACTTTGAAATTAATGGTACTCCTCCTAACTTCCGTATTCGATTGGCTCAATTAAGTATGACGGGCGTAGCCAAACATTGGTTCACGATCGTTAATCAAATTTATGATTCGATCTTGTGGGAGCAGTTTCACGTCGAGCTGCTCCAACGATTTAGTTGGTTGGAAATTCATAATCCTTATGAACAATTATCAACGATCAAACAAGGGGCATCGATTTATGACTATATCGATGACTTTGAGTATTTGTTATCGTTGGTTCCTAAACTTCCCGAATCGCAGTCGTTAGGATATTTTATTGCAGGATTGAAAGATGATGTTAAGCGTTGGGTTCGATTACATCGTCCTCAATCGCGATTAGATGCTATGTATCTAGCCAAGGATATCGAAGGAATGCTTCATCCTTCGTCGTCGAATTTATCTCTGTCCCGTTTTCGTTATCAACCTGGGCCTGGTGGTACTGGTTTCTCCAAAGATATTAGGCCCAATTTGGGAGGTCGTTTGGACCAATTCCGGCCCAATTCGTTTTCTCCGTCCGACAAAAACCCGGCTATGGGGCGACCAGAGGGCAATCGTTCTTCGTCTCTTCCACGTAATCAGGGACCGACTTCTACTGATTTTGCTCAGCTGTTTAATCGTAATCGGGGTTTCAAATCTCTCACACGAACTGAGTGGGAGGATCGTAGGAAGAAGGGGCTGTGTTTTCAATGCGGCCAACAATTTGGGCCAGCGCATAAATGTCCAGAAGGTCAGTTGCGCGTTTTGTTACTGGGCGATGATGAATCTGGTGACGAGGACGGGTTGATTACCAACCTCGAAGCTGACTTACAATTGGCATCTCCACCGGAGGATGCAAATTCAGCAACCTTATGTTTGGCCCTTGACTTTCTTGGGGCTTCGGCTGAGTCTACTTCAGGGAGTAAAACTCTCAAATTTGAGGGCACCATTACGGATATTCCGGTCACCATTTTGGTTGATAGCGGGGCTACCCACAATTTTGTCTCTCGAAAGTTAGTAAGGTCTCTTGGATTGTCTGTGGAATTGTTTGCCGGAATCTTATATTCAGTTGGGGGATGGTCATCGAATTCACGTCAATCAGCGATGTCCACTATTGAAAATTACAGTGGGACCTTGTGAGTTCGTAATCGCAGCATTGGTTTTTGATTGGATTTGGTTCTCGGTATTGAATGGTTAAAAACTTTGGGGGATGTGGTCCATAATTGGGACAGATCGTCGATGCAGTTTGTTTTTCAAGGCGTCTCGGTTCTTCTCCAAGGATTGTCTAAGTCGGAATGTTCCCAAGCTTCTTTACAATCTTGGTTGTCCTTGCCAACCTCGAAGGYTGCCTCATGTTCAACCTTAGGGCCTGCCAACGAGGAGTTTACCCCAATGCAGCGCCAACAATTACTCGTCTTACTCGAACGATTTAAGGAAGTTTTTCGTGAACCGTCGGGGCTGCCTCCCTCCCGACCACATGATCACTCCATCTCCTTGGTTTCCCCACATGAACCAATATGTGTTCGACCTTACCGATATCCCCATATTCAGAAATCCGATAGAAAGACAAGTTCAGGAGCTATTAAAGTTGGGAATGATTCGGTCGAGTAAGAGTTCTTTTTCGAGCCCGGTCATCCTTGTTCGTAAGAAGGATAACTCTTGGCGTATGTGCGTCGATTATCAAGCTCTTAACAAGGCAACTATTCCGGACAAATTTCCAATTCCCGTAGTTGAGGAACTCATTGATGAGCTTAAGGGAGCCAAATTCTTTTCCAAATTGGATTTGAAATCTGGCTACAATCAAATTCGAATGGAGCCGACGAGTATTGAGAAGACGGCATTCCGAACGCATGATGGTCACTATGAATATCTTGTGATGCCCTTTGGGCTCTCAAATGCCCCGGCAACCTTTCAAGCGGTTATGAATGATGTCTTTCGACCATTTTTACGAAAAAAGGTAGTGGTTTTTTTTGATGACATACTCATTTACAGCCCTTCGTGGAATCAACATATGGTGGATTTAGAGATTGCTCTAAAGATCTTATGGGAAAACCATTTTGTGGTTAATCAGAAGAAATGTTCATTTGGCCAAACTTCGGTAGAATATTTAGGCCACATTATTAATGGTGAGGGCRTAGCTATGGATCCKRAAAAAATTGAAGYGGTTTTGGATTGGCCGGTTCCAAGAAACRTTAAAGGGTTACGGGGATTCTTGGGTCTCACCGGCTATTATCGAAAATTTATTAGACATTATGGGAGTATTGCGAGGCCACTTACGGATTTGACTAAGAAGGATGCGTTTGGGTGGAATGATGAAGCGCAACAGGCCTTCGTTTCTTTAAAGGAAGCAATGGTTACTGCCCCTCTTTTGGCCTTGCCKGATTTTCGTTTACCATTTGTGGTCGAGTGCGATGCGTCTGGCCGCGGAATAGGAGTTGTCCTAATGCAACAAAACAGACCGCTGGCTTATTTCAGCAAGGCTCTTAGTGACAGAAATTTGGCAAAATCAGCATATGAAAGAGAAATAATGGCGTTGGTGTTAGCTGTTCAACACTAGCGGTCGTATTTGTTGGGAACACGATTCGTGGTCTACACCGACCAAAAGAGCCTTAAATTTTTGTTACAACAAAGAATTACGACACCGGATCAACAAAATTGGGTAGCCAAGCTATTGGGGTATGATTTTGACATTTGTTATAAGTCGGGTCGTGAAAATCGAGTGGCTGATGCTTTGTCTCGAAAAGCCGCTGATGGGGAACTTCTTACTGCGGTATCGACACCAATTTGGTTGCAGGGATCACGACTTCTGGAAGAAATCCGTGCGGACACGGGAATTCAGCGATTGTTGGCGAAATGTGAGGCTGACCACTCGCGTCATCCGGGGTTTTCCGTTCGTCATAACATGTTATACTATAAAGATCGTCTAGTGATCCCTCGTACTTTAAAATTCATTCCGATGTTGTTGAATGAGTTTCATCAATCTGCTTCGGGTGGGCATTCAGGGTACTATCGCACTTACCGTCGATTGGTAGCCAACATTTATTGGCCAGGTATGATTGCTGCAGTTCAAAATTTTGTTAGAGCATGTGAAATCTGCCAACGATGTAAAGAAAGTTCAACAGCTCCTGGAGGTCTTCTTTAACCCTTATCCATTCCAAGTGCGATTTGGGACGACATCTCTATTGATTTCGTCGTCGGGTTACCCAAATCTCGGGGTTTTGATGCGATTCTGGTGGTAGTCGACAGGCTGTCTAAATACAGCCATTTCCTATTATTAAAACACCCTTATACCGCTAAATCGGTGGCTGAACTGTTTGTGCGTGAAGTAATTCGTCAWCATGGTATTCCGAAATCGATTGTAAGTGATCGGGATCCCTTGTTTCTTAGTCAGTTTTGGCAGGAAATCTTTCGCTCCCAAGGGACTAAATTGAATATGAGCTCCGCCTATCACCCGGAATCTGATGGTCAAACGGAAGTCATTAATCGTTGCTTGGAAACTTATTTAAGATGTTTTGCTGTTGATCAGCCACGTTCGTGGTCAATTTGGATTCCATGGGCCGAATTCTGGTACAATTCGACATTTCACGGATCAACTGGGAAGTCTCCGTTCGAAGTGGTGTATGGTCGCAAGCCACCGACAGTATTGCAATTTGTCCCAGGTGAGATTCGCGTTCAAGCCGTGGCACAAGAGCTTCAAGATCGCGATGAAGCTTTAAGGCAACTCAAACAACATTTGTCTAATGCTCAATCGGCAATGAAGGAACAAGCGGACAGAAAGCGTAGGGATGTGAAATTTCAAACGGGAGAGTGGGTTTACGTTAAGCTAAAACCCTATCGACAAATATCGGTGGCTCAACGTATTCATCAGAAGTTGGCAGCGCGATTTTTTGGTCCATTCAAGGTGCTAGAAAGGATTGGGCTTGTCGCTTATAAGCTGGAACTGCCACCATCATCTAAAATACATCCTGTTTTCCACGTGTCTTTGTTAAAGAAGGCTGTTCGAGTGCCTACAGAAACAGTGTTACCTCCGGAGTTGGAAATTGGGACAACCGATATGTTAGTCCCGGCAGCTATTTTGGCTTCTCGTATGATTACGGAGCATCATGAGCAAGTTCGTCAATGGTTGATCCATTGGAAGGGTTGTCCAGTAGAGGAGGCAACATGGGAAGATGCAGCAAGTATTCAGATCCAATTTCCGGAAGCAAGTCTTGAGGACAAGACTTTTTCTGAAGGAGGGAGTAATGATGGGA